ACAGAAGATCTAGAAAACAGATAAAAATAGAAACTACAATCCCTATTTCACTTTTTTCTTTAGATTTAGCAGAATATTCTTCACATTTAGCATGGAGATACAGACTCCCACACTGTCGAGCAGGACATAGCCTAAAATAGGTAAGGATCTGCCAAGGCACAACAACATGCCAGCTCACACTTTCCAGGAGCACCAGAGCGGCTGTGTAGTGCCCCATGCCCCACCCTCAAGCTTACCTCTAACCAGACATCTGGGCTTTGCATGAGAATGAGCGAAGGAGATGAGAAGTTCCCCTGAACATGGACCTAGGCAGTGGCCAAGTCCCAGAACCATTCTGCACCTCTCCAATCTTGGAGCCTCTCCTTTTCAAGCCCTGCCCAGCTGTGGCCCCTTTGTGGCTTTGCTCCATTAGTTCATAGGTCACAAGTGTGAGGTCTGGCACTTGCCAGTTCTATGGAGGAACTATGGGCAGCACAGTGTGGTACAGCCACCTTCAACTTTGGCTGCCCATCAGCTTGGTGGTGGAGCTTGCAAAAGGTACCAAGGATGGTCTGCCACCCACACATTGAAACACAGTCTCTGGGATGAGGTGTGGGCCCAAATCTTTTTATTCTAATACGTAGTCAGGGATGGAAACTATGAGGATGTTTTAGAAAACTCAGGGTTTTAGAAAAGGCACTTTGCTATATTTTCCATTCATGTGACTTTAGGAAAGTTGTTTAGGCTTTCTCTGCCACTTTCCCCATCTTAAAAATGGATAAGAATGATGACTTTGACTATAGTAAGAGGTTGTTGTGAGATTACCTGAGATAACATCTGTGAAAGTCATTTGTGAATTGCATAATGTTTACTATTATAATTGTTACAAGTGCCTTAGAACTTGGAAAGAAAGAGAGAGAAAGGCCTCCAGAGAAGGGCATTGCTGAGCATACGCAGCCTTGTCCCAATCATGATACGTTTCGAACACCCAATTGAAATATTAAAGGTCTGTGAAGGTAACTTAAAGAAATTTAATTGTACAAAAATATGGGGTATATATACAATGAGTCATCCAGGAACATTTACATCTCCTTTATGGAAAAGATGTTAAACTTATTCTATTGTTTTTAGATGGTGAATCTTTCTAGAATGAGCATAGAATATTAACTACGCCATTTCCTCTGATAGCTAAGTACACCAAAAAAGCTCTCCAATGTGGCAGGACACTTAGGATTTTATGACCAGTGTAACTTTGTGTCTAAATATGAGGGACATCTTGGTTAAAAGCTTCTAATATTTCATGTTTCTTTCTGTTGAATTTGGACTCAGCTAAAGTTTCACTGTTAAAATGAAGATATGAAAATTTGAATAACAAAGGACTTAAAAATCCATAATTTAAAAATACATAGTATACTTGGGTCCTGATTTCTAAATGCTATTTTCCACTCAGAGGAACCAGAGCTCCTTGGAAAAAAAAATAGTTGAGTTTCAAGTGTAGGAAAAGGAAAGTATACTATGTCAGAAATATGGTTCCTACCAGCCAATATGGGACATTTTGAACATCAAAATATAGAAGGACACATACATATTGAAACACAGTAAATCAAATAAACTCACATAGATAATCAAGGAGGCAAAGCTATTCTTTACAATAAAGGGCCAATTAATAAAGAATGAATGATGGGGTCAGTAAAATCACCATTTGATAACCTATCATAGCAATAATTGATTGAAGCAAGAGTTATTAAAGACTGCTTAAACTAGACGATTTTCACTAGTGGATTTGATGAGGAAGAGGATATCTATATAATCTAAAAATATCTCCCCACAAATTACTTACTAATTACAAAGGGGAAATTAATCACTTGCCAGTAGAAAAATCTGGTGGAGACCTTCTTGATCAGGACATTGAAGTTAACCTGCTCCATAGACAGTCCAGCAGAAAATCCAGTAGGCTCTGTCTTCAAAACACATCCAGCCAAAACATTGTCATCTCTAAAGAGAGGCTGCATTTCACCTCCCCAAGGTGTCCTTTGTAGACCCACAGTCTATGGTCAGTCCAGCAGCCAATGGATCCTGTTCCAATGTGAGTCAGATGGTGTCACATCTCTTGCCCCCATCTCATTCAGAATCAAAGGCCCATCCTTACACTGGCCACAGACCTTTGGGGCTGGCCACTGTGTCTCTACCTCCCTTGATTGTGACCTTGCTTCCTCAATATTGATCTCCTTTCTGCTTCACGAATGCATCTGACCTGCTCCCATCTACTAGCTCCTCTTCCTGCCAGGAAAAGTCTCCTTCCAGGTATCTGAAGAGCACGCTCCCTCTTCTCCTTCAAGTCTTTGTTCAGAGGTGATATTTTCAATGCAGCTTTCTTCACAAACTACTTGAAACTTCAGTTGTTTCCATGTCTTGGTTATTGTGAACGATGAATAATGTTGTAATGAAGGTGGAAGTGCAGATGTCTCTTCAACATGATTTCATTTACTTTGGATATGTACCCAGAAAAGAAATTGCTGGATCATATGGTAAGTCTATTTTTATTTTTATTTTTTTGAGAAAACTCCATAGTATTTTCCATAATGACTGTATTAATTTATGTTCCCACTAGCAGTATCTAAGGGTTCCCTTTTCTCCACAATCTTGTCAATTCTTATTTTCCTTTACTTTATAAGGAAGTTGTGAGATAGATAGACACACATATAAATAAGGGAATATTATCCTGCCTTAAAAAATGAGATCCTGCCATTTTTGACAACATGGATGAACCTAGAAGATATTATGCTGACAAGAAATAAGCCAGACATAAAAAAAATACTGTATCATCTCACTTACCTGTGGAATTTTGAAAAGTTGCAAACAGAGAAGCAAAGGATAAAAGGGAGGCTGGGTTGGGGAGGTGGGGAAATGGGAGATGTTGGTCAACGTGTACACAAATTGCAGTCATGTAGGGTGAATCAGTCTAGAGAGTTAATGTTCCATCTGATGACTAAAGTTAATAATACTAGGTTAAATACTGGAAATTTGCTAAGAGAGTGATTTCAGGTGCTTTAGTTATAAAAGAAAACAAGATAATTATGTGAGAGATGGAAATTTTAATTTGCTGGGTTGTAGTAATCATTTCACTATATACAGGTATATCAAAACATCATGTTATACACTAAGTATACAGTCAGCCTCCTTTTCTACAGGTTCTGCACCTGTGAATTCAACCAACCATGAAGCAAAAAAGAAAAGAAAAGAAAAGAAATTTAAATTGTACCTATACTGAACATGTGCAGACATGTTTTCTTGTCATTGTTCCTTGAACAATACAATCTAACAACTATTTACATAGAATTTAGATTGGATTAGATATCATAGGTAATCTATAGATGATTTAAAATATATGGGAGAATGTACATAAGTTATATGCAAATAGAACATCATTTTATATAAGGGACTTGAGCATTCATGGGTCTTGGTAACCACAGGGGTTATTGCAAGCAATCCCCCATGGATGCCAAGGAACAATTATATACAATTTTTATTCAAAATAATAAATAAATAAGTAAATAAAAGAAAATTGAGGTTTCCTTATGTCCCCAACCTGGCCATTCCTATCATCTTTCTTGCTTTATTTCTTCTGTTTCTGCTAATGCTTTCTTACCTAACATATGATTAATCATTTACTTCTGATAATTGCCTATAGCCCACACTTGCAGTTAGTCTGGGAGAAATATATTCCCAACCCTTAGAATAAAGCAGATGACACATGTTTGTTGAATGCTGAGTGAATCTTTATACTGATTAAGTACCTTCTCTATCACCAGCATGTGATTGCTATACAATGGGAAACAAAAACAAATGCAATAATAACTAAACTGAACAAAACAAAAATCATTTTGCATGGTCTCCAGTTCTCCAGAACCTGACAATTTAGTTGAGGACAGCAAAGTAGACACAGAGTGGAATTACCATAGCATGGAGTGCTAAGCTCTTGGTACCTTCTGGAACACAGTGTAGTTTACAGGAAGGAAATTGCTGCAGTTGGAGAGGGAATTCTAGGGGGTGGAGGACTGTCTTGGGTAGTCAGTGGGGTGGAGGATCCAGTACTCAGTGCTTCCTCCAGAAGACAGGGAGGGAGACCCTGGGAACATAGGAGGAGGGTTTCAGAGCATGTATCTAGCCAGAGTGGAGGCATTTGCTGACACTCAGTGTCCTTCATGCACCCTCCAGGACCATACTTGGGGCAAGAAATTAAGGCTGGTGACATGTTAAGGAGTAATCCCAGGTTGCAGCAGGTAATAGGAAATGAGACAGAGAAGGGAAGGAAGCTGATCTTTATGTACAAGTGAGCAAGAGACCACAGCAAGCAGCGAATAATCCTGCCAGGGGCCTGTGAAAGCATGTGGAGCGTCTCAGAGTGGGCTTCCCAGAAAAGCCAGGATGCTGGTGGATTCTTTGGAGAGTGCTGCTGGATTATGGGGGCATTGGCTTGCCAGCACCTGCAACCTACCCCGTGCAGGGTCCCAGGGACAGTTGTGGGGCTGAGATCTGCAGGTGACCAGGAGGAAGCTCAGGCATGAATAGGAGCAGAGGACTGGGTCCTAAAGGCTGAAGTCAGACTCAGATGCACACGTGGTAGTTCTTGCATTGCTCTGTAAGTAGAAAGTTAAGCTGTACAAAACCATAGCATGCTTTTTTTTTTAATAGAGGGGAGTAAGAATTTTATTTGGAACCTAGTCCAATTTAGATCTCCCCAACCCCTGAAACTTTATAAGGACCCAAGAAAAGTTGGCTCATCTAATAAAGAGGACATATCAATGTCATTATAGCATGTTCACTAAACTATCATGCTAGTGGCTCTGTCAATCAGTATCATTTAACCTATATAAAATATTTCCCCCCATGAAGACAGACTATGGGGCAAAAAGCAAACCAACCAAACAAACAAAAAACAAAAACCACACCCCAATTCATTCACAAAGGCACTTGTAATTTAGTATTTAAATTTGATTCCATCATTTCTGGGCAAAAACATGGAGCAACCCCTGAGTGTCTCCTGGATATCTGTACATTTTTTGAGACAATGCAAGCAAATTCGCGAGGCCTCCATCAGGGTTACATAGGGAGGGAAATAGCCTTGAACGTGGGCTTCTCTGTGGAAATCATTCCAGTGCAGACGAAAGGAGAGGGAGACACACAACGCCCTCTATTGTCACGGCAGGTCAACGGTGTGGGCACAGTCCTCTGAAAGCAAAAAGAGCAACAACCCAATGAGAAAGGGGAACCTATATCCACAAGAATGAAACCCTGGGTTTCTGAGGACCAGCCACTGGCATACAACTCTGCCTACCAAGTGGGAAACACCCATGAGTTCTGGGGATCTGTCAAAACCATTTCTGGTAGAAGCAGCCCCACCTTCCACCTGCTGGTAACTGGAGAACACTGAGACATTTCTGGTTCTGGTGGATTTTTTCCCTGGACCTGCCAGGAATGTGACTTTAGGGGGCAGCCAGCCAGGGCCAAGGCGTGGGAGACCAAGGCATTTCAACAGCTGCTTGGGGGTGGGGGCGGCAGCACATTTTAATTGTCTCATGGCAATCACCATGGGGCTTAGTCTACCCTCCCTGCTCTGGCCTTTCAAGAAAATAGTGTAAACGCGTCCTTTATGACCCTGTTTGGAAAGTCCAAGAATTGGTTGTTAATTAGGACCACTCTGCATAATCTAGGAGGAGGGAAGAGGTAAGGGAAGAGAAACATTTTTGTCTTTCTCTTGATTATCTGTGGGGTCCTGCCCAGGAATTTCCCTCCTGTCGCACAGTTCTGTATCTAGAAGTCTCTCGACTCCTTCCCCAGGAGCTCCTGGAACAAATTAAGTTTCCCTGAAGAAAATGGCTCAAGATGACATGGCAGTGTCATCAGGACGGGCCCTGGGTGTCCTTCTCATGGGTCAGGGTTTCAGGAGGTTCTTTCCTCCAGGCAGCCACACAATGCCACATCATCCTGGGCTGGGTTCTCCCCGCCTTCATTGACTCTCCCCGCCTTGCTGTTGCTGCAGAAAAGAACCTTGCCTTTCCTCTCCCTTTCACACTCAACATCTTGCTGGTCCTCAGGGAAGCCCTGGGGCTCTTATCCAGGGAGGCACAGAGAGGTTGTAGGGCATTCAGGGGCACACAGCTGACAAATGCAAGGCCAGGATTCAAAGTTGGGTCTTTTGTCTCCAAACCCAGGGCTCTTCCCTTTTTATTCCAGTGTGCTCCTCCCAGGCAGTCACAGAAACAACTATTTAAAGATACAAACCTGCTTTCACATATTAATCAGAAAGGAGTGTACGCCTGCCCTCATTCATCCTTGTGCAGACTGTCTTACCAAAGGCAATTCTAACTTGGGAAGTGAATTCCAGATGGGAAAGATGGTGATGATAATGACAGTGGCCACCGTTCATTAAGTGTGTACCAAGTCACAAAGCTAAGTAATATATCCATCCCTATTCACAGACCAAAAAAAAAAAAAGAGGCTGGGTTAAATACCACACTCCTGTAGGTCCCAAAGCCACTATGTGGCCAACCTGGGGATTCAAACCCACCAGAATGCTCCTGACAGCACCACCTTCTCTTTTGTGGCACAAAGGACCTCAAGCATCTGAGTCACTCTACACATTGTGATCAGCAAACTCCTCCACCAGTGGACTAGAAGTCCTGCTGCTAATGTCAGTTAAGGCTTAGGAAGGACAATGAGGTGCTGAGGACTATCCTAACCGCTTTCACATATTAACTCATTTAGCCCTCAGTGACCAATGAACTGTTATCACTTATCCCCTATTGCACAGGCCAGCAGCCTCAGGCCAGCCCTAGTCACCAGCAGAGTCTCAGTTATTTGCCATCTCAGGGTACAAGCCACGAGAGCCAGAGGGGGCCAGAGTTGGTGACTGACCACTTCCCCATGACTCTGCTGAAGATTTGGCAGATGACAGCTCTCTCTCTTCTTCCCCTGGTTCAAAGGATGAAGGTAGATGGTGTTCAATAGATACCTGTTCATTCTGGCAGGGCCTTAAAAGTTAATCTGCTTGACTCAGCCTGAAGCAACTGCGGCTTATGGAATTGGGCAAAAGGGCAGTGCAGACAATGCTTTGCCAAAAGTGCTCCTGCAGCCCTGCTGTGGCTGGCAGCGGGCCCCCCATGGGTGTCTGTTATTAGCACACCTTGTGCTGTGCCATGGGAAGATACAAGCCTCCAGTCTGGCAATGATTTCGTGCTAGGACAGGGAGTCACCTAATGCCAACTGAAAATGCTGCCTGACCTGGGGATGGCAGAAATGACCAAAGCATGTCTTTGTTTGGCACCTTGATGTATGTGTGACCTGGTTTTGAAGGTTGTGTTTACAATGGGTAGTTCCTTAGACACAATCCAAACATTTTCCTCTTTGGCCATGAGCACCAGCAAAGCAAGGCTGTCTGGTGTCATTGCTGACCTGTAACGTCCGAGGACCTAAATTTGAACGGTGACTCATGCATTTCATGGGAAACATCAAGCGTTTCTCACTGCAGACACACACACACAGAGTCCAGGAATGCCATGCCCTCAAAGACAAACCTGCTTCCTTATTTACCTCCCTGCCTTCCTCAGGAATGGCTGGGAGCCATTTGCTTTCCTGGGAGAAGGGGAGAGAACCCCACATCGTCAATGTCTCCCATGGGCCACGTGAAGTTGCTTTCTACAACATCGCCTCACTTACTCCTCACAGAATTGCCTCAGTTGATTCACACAGAAATCTGTTGACCTGGCAGTTACGATGCCTACTGTACAGAATCAGAAAAACGAAGCCACTTATCCCAGGTCATGCAGCTAAAAAGTGGAACCAGGATTCAAACCCAGGTTATTTTGACCACATCCCCATCTTACTTGTGGGCCTCCTTAACTTTTTAGCTCAGAAAATTATCTTCATGCACACACACACACACACACACACAACCTGCTACCAGATGCCAAGAGCAATGTAGGTGCTTAATTAAAGATTGTTGATCCAGGCATAGTAGCATGAGCCTGTAATTGCAGCTGAGGCAGGAGGATGGCAAGTTCCAGGCCAGACAGGGCAACTTAGCAAGAACCTGTCTCAAAACAGTAAAGTGAAAAATGGGCTGGGGATGTAGCTCAGTGGTAAAGCACCTCTGGGTTCAATCTCTAGTACAGCAACAACAACAAAACTTGAATGAATGAATGATACCATTTTTAGTTAACACTCACTTTGAAATAAACTCTTCTGAGAATACTCTAATCAGGTCATCATCCATTTCTGACTGCTTAGTGTCTCCCAAATAGCTATCCGTACTGTATACTTTACTTTCACAGTAGACTTAAAGTTCATTTTACCCTTTTCCTCCCCCTTGTCCCTCAGTTGAATCTTTCAGGTTCACCTGCTTTGCTCCCACTGTCCAAGTCAATGCTGACAAGATTGCAGACCTGGCGAGCCTCCAAATCGGCTGGTCTGAAAATAGATTATGAAATCAGGAAGGGTGTAAGACACCCTTATAATCCTGATGCTATTAATACACAATGAATGGAATTCCTAGCACACACAGTGGCTGGTCAATTGTCATATAGCATCATTCATGCACTTGAGAGTAACAGAAATGATCTAACTTATCCGCCAGATAAGAACCCTTAAATTTGTCACTAACACATTGTCTGAAGCCCTAGCAAACGTCAGTACCCAGCCCACACATCACATATGCTGGATTTACTTTCACTCCTCCATGTGAAGTGATTGATAAACATAATACAATGGATGGTTTGCTCAAAATTCCAGTTTTCCACGCTCCAAAGTGTTCTCTCAATCCAATATTTCTATAACTCAAGTTTCTGCAGCAACTTGTCCTTTCCTTAAAACAAACAAACAAAAACCAGGAAGGGAGAAACTCCTTTCTGCTCATGGCTCTGATTAGCTATGAATGGCAAACATTTCCTTGTGAGAAGATGGAAATGTGGAATAGTTAAAGCTGAAGTCAGCCAAAATTACCTAGCCATAACTGCCTTAGAAACCCTTAAGTTGTTGAAGCTTTAAGAAAAATTGAAAATGAAAGAGAAAAAATTTACCCATCTTAATTTTTCTAGGAGTGTGTAAATTCAGATATAAATTATATATAAATATAAGAATGGCATTGGGGCAGTGCAATCATTATATTGCTTATTGAGCAAATATGATTTTTAAATGTGTTTTCAGAATTGAGCTCTTGCCACCCACAATGGGGGAGGCAGTGCTTTTCACCCTGGTAAGCTTCTCTTAAAATAAAGGCAATGATTTTCACAGATATCAAAGAGCATTCATTCACTGTCAACATCAATAATTAACTTTGCTGTCATCCCATAAGAAGGGTGCATTTAAGGGAAGATTATCAAAAGACAACAAAGAAATCTAGGTAGTGGTGACATCACAAGATTCCAGGATGTCCCTAGAGAAGATGCCTCTTGAGGTTGTAAATTTGCTAGGTAAACTCTCTGGATCAAGCTTATCAATATCCGATAAAGGCTTATGCTGAGACAGGCGAAGGTAAGGAAAGCTCATGTTGCCTGCCCTGCTGCCAAACAGCCCCAAGAAGAACCACAGTCCAGTCTATGCAATGAGTATGCAATTTTACTTATATTCACTCAGTCTCTCTTTCTTTCTTTCTTTTTCTTAAAAAAAAACAAAAAACAAACTTATTCAGTTATACATTAAGCATTTTTCTAGATACTGGAGGTAAGGAAAAAAAACAAACTCCCTGCCCAGATGGCATTTACAGTTGTCACTCAGTATCTTCAGGGGATTGGTTCCAAGGTCCCCTGCAGATACCAAAATCTCAGAGTCTCAAGTCCTTACATAAAATGGTGTAGAACTGAGGATCTAGCTCAGTGGTAAAGTGTGTGCTTAGTATGCACAATGCCCTGACTTCAATGTCAAACACCAAAAAAAAAAAAAAAAAAAAAAAGAATAAATAAAATAGCATAGCATTGGCATAAATAACATAGCATAACCCGTGCTCACCTTTCTGTATAGTTTAATTTAATTTTCTGAGGTGTTAGGGATCAAACCCAGGGCCTAGCACATGCCAAGCAACTGCTCTGCCACTGACTGAGCCACATCCCCAACTCCTTCCATGTACTTTAAAGTATCTCTAGATTACTTATAATACCTAATATGATGTCAATTATATGTAAATATATATTTGTGCTCTATTGTTTAGGGAATAATGATCAAAACATGTTTAGTAC